AAGTTTTATCTCAGTCATTATGTGCTTGGTTTCTGAGAACCTGTTATAAACAAAATCTCACTGTACTCTGGCTGCTCTAAAGCACGAATTATGTTTTTGCATTCAACTTCCTAAGCATATTTTAGTTATTGGGATTTTTTATTTAAAAATATCAAAATAATATCATAAAAGATTGGTTTTTTTAATAGAAATTTCTGTTTTAACACAAGCTTAGAAGTTAGAAAGAATTCCGTACTTAAGATTAAAACATTGAGGAAATCAGCTATTACGAATATAATTACCATTGCTTGACAAATGGATAACAGAATCCATCTTGTCAAAGAGTATATAATATGAATATGCTCACCATAGCAAATGTGCTAAGAGAAAGTGTATTAAGCAAGATCAGTCTGGTTATTTGCCAGCAAGCTCTGGCAGACAGATAACAGACCTCCAGGTTTGTTCTTGGCATTTGAAGCAGCAAGAAGTAAGATTTGTTCTCTTATGAAGTGTAATCTGGCAGCCCAGACTTGCTTTAAGGCTTTCACAAGTAAGTGAAGTGCCATGAAATATGTAAATATTGAAACAGTCTTTCCTTTGTTGAGTAAAATATTCTTTGTACTATAACGGTGTGGGTTTAGTTGTGGTGTTGAGCTTTTAGATTAAGAAAGCAAAACACTATATTACAAAAGTTGAATAACATTGCCACAAATCTGGGGATCAGTACGCTGAGGCTACTCTAAGCTCTGCTTTTACCAAAAGACAGAAGCAGGAAAGGTCTTTTCTTTTTGTCCTGTGTTTTGAGCACTTACTTATGGTTTATTCTCCCTGAGCAACCCATTTTTTTATTTCTTTACACAAGATCTTTATAAAGAAAGAACTTTTTGTCACAGAAAGCTATAGAAACTCAATAAAAGGAAGCATTTTACTCAGCTGAAGACTTTAACCATTCCCATGTAAGAGAGAAGCCAAGGGTTTCTGGTCCATGTGCTGGAACAGTTTATATAGTTTATCCACTGTTTAATATAAAATGCATAGACTATTTTGGGCACTAGAGCCAGACGTCTTTCCCAGAAAAGCAATTTAGCTACTATATTAGAGTCATGCTAGTGCTTGTTCGGTCTTCCTGAAGCTTGAATACTTTGTTGCACAGCTTCAACAGGAAATAGAGAAAGCATCCATCCTTCCCTACCAGTCTCGTAGCTAATAGCTTGTGATTAAACCTCTTTATGGAAAAGGAAAGATCTGAGTTTCAATCCATTTAGAAAGGGAAATTGAACTCATGTCTGCTGTTTCTCAGGTGACCGATTTAGCCACTGGTATATTTCATGCAGCTTTAGTCAGCACTATATTTCCTCTGGCCAGGATATGGCATTTGCAATTGCAGCTGATGTTTAACTGAGCTAAATGTGCTCAGCATAAAAGTAGCTATTAAACCATAGTATTAGAGATAAAAACAACTGCTTTTTGGGTTATGCTCAAGTTTAGGCCCTGATCTAGAAACTGGATTTTTCAAATTAAGGGTGTCAGCATGACCAGGAGCACAACTCTTGACACATTGAGGGGTCTACATTCACAAGGTGACTCTTGCAAGCATAAGCTTCTTCAAGGTAACTGAGGGTAGATTTTGGGGGAAATTGCTTTTCAGTTACTGATGGTATCTCAACACCGCAGAGTGCAACAATCAATGAACTAATAATTCACTAAATGGCTGTGCAACCTGCAGCTGCAGCAGCTCAAGTCTGGAAGCAGAACAGCTGGTTTCCTGTGCAATGATGCATCAGAGTCAATCAGTTTTGAAGGGGCATACCACTACATGAATGACATCCTACTGCTCCAAAACTTGGGTCACTTACAACCTGGTGAGATTCGCTTGCCTAGAAATGACAGCCACTAGTGCCATGTAGACTCCCAGATATCCCACCCATTCTGCTGGCATTCAGATGGTGCTGTATTCTATTTGCCTACATTATCCTAATATCTCAGATACCCTACAATGTCCAGAAATCCTACTATCTTTCAAAGGAACTACATAACATTACTACATTTGTGTTTCAGTATCAAAATCACTCCCCATATCTTACAGCTTGGTGTTTTCCAGCCCTTCCAGATGTCAGGTTCATTCCTGTGCTTGTCTCTAAACTCACAGCAAAAAACATGCCTGTACAGCTTTGCTGGAGGTAGCCCTAGAAATATCCCTTTTTACAAGCTTAATCTTGAAAGGTGTTTAATATTCTCGACTTTAATTTAAGACAATGAGAGTTACAGGTGTACTTTGCAGGACTGAGTCTTATGTGAGTAGTTAACCATTTTACGTGATGAAGTAGAGAACTGCTCATCGTGACTTGTGTTCTCATAGAGAATATGTGATATCTCTGATCTAAAAGAAATACTGTCTTATTTATTAAAAATTTGCCCTCAGGGCAACATGGAAATAAATCAGGGGCAGCTACCACAGTATCCTTTTGTGGGTTGTGCATAACTAGAATTTAAAACACGATGCTTTTCACTCCAGGAATGATTCAAAATACATTGGGTGTTTTATATTCTTGTAACTAAAAAGTGGCTTTACTTAGGACCAAAAAAATATTTCTAGCTCTGCTTCCATTCATTTCTAATCTGATCAGAAACGAGCAGTATTCTTTTGAAACAGAAATCCACTGGATTTTTTTTTACAAGAGAAGCTTGCTTTGAAAGTGCTATTTCCACATTGCTATGTAGCTCTGTGCTGAGTGTACTGCTGTCTAAAGGTTATTTGTGCACTGGTCAGTATGCACAACTTAGACAAAAAAGACTTTTGTTCATCTCATCATGATGTTTCTTTCTGTGACTTAGTTTTTCCGTTTGTTAAACGGGGCCAGTCACACCCAGGTACAAAGTGTTTGGGCCTCTACTGTTAAAAAATGTTACTAAAAGCCTAGATATTAAGATTTTTCTCCACAACTCTTCAGTAGATTCTGTTTGAAGTTCACTCAGGAAAGCCCTGAATTGTGAGACTGAAGTTTTAATATGACTCCTTTGATATAAATTTTATCATCTACGGAAACAGCTTTCAGAAACTCATTGTTTTCAGCCTCTGTGAACCTGAAAAAAACCTGCCTAATAAATGGAGCAAAACACATTTATCCTATTACTAAATTCCATTATCATCACATACAAAATATAAATAACAATTTAATATTAAAAGAAAGCGTTGCAATTGGTTGCCTTGGCTCAAGATATTTCTTGTCTTTCCTGTAATTTATAATGTAAGATATCTCATGAGGTAAACTGGTCAAGCTAATACTTTTGTGGGCAAGGTAACTTCAAATTCAAATATAGAATTCAAATCTCATTTGTTTGGAACACTTTTTTCTCAGCGAACAAAAGAAAATTGTTAATAGTGATTATGAATGTTGGTGATTTAGTATTTGGGTGCCTTATGAGACTCCATTCTCAGGCTGAACATGCACATTAATTTCTGAAAATCACAGCATATGAGGATGACATATATGGCATCCTAAGTGGATGTCATAGGTGTAGACCCATATGAAGACAGTCTCTGACAAAGGGTAACGGGTTCAAACTTAAACAGGGAAGTTTAGATTGGATATAAGGAGGAAGTTCTTTACTATAAGGGTGGTGAGGCACTGGAATAGGTTGCCCAGGGAAGTTGTGAATGCTCCATCCCTAGCGGTGTTCAAAGCCAGGTTAGATAGAGCCTTGAGTGACTTGATTTAGTGTGAGGTGCCCCTGCCCATGCAGGAGGGTTGGAACTAGATGATCTTAAGGTCCTTTCTAACCCTAACTATTCTGTGATTCTATGTAGGACAAGTCCTCTTGCAGAAAACCAGCTGTAACCTCTGTGTGGCTGATAAGGTGGTGGATGAATGAACATAACTGCTGGTGTGGCACATGAGCAGGAGCCTCCACCCTGAACTGGATGAGGGCGATCTGCTGTCTTCAATAGCTCTGGGACTATCCCACTTCCTCCAACATCAGTTGCTGGGCCTGGGCCGCAGCCTAACAACTGGAAAAGTTATGTGTAGGGATAGCTGTGAGGATGAGCTAATTTAGTTTCTTTACTAAAAGTGGTTTCTTCACAATACAAAAATTTGCCACAACAAACATAAGAACATATTTCCTTTCCCCTAGTCCCAGCTCTGCTGTTCTGGAGCAGTCCTAGTACTGCCTGCAATTACCTCTTTTGGGGCTTCCCAACAGCAAAATGGTTTTTAGCCTCTCTGACCTGCTGCAAGCTAGGGTGTGCTCTGCACCATCTACTCCAGAGTGCAGAAAGACCTCAGTGCTTGCCTCTTCTTCCTTTGTGAGGCCTGATTCCAAGTTTCTGCAACATTACCCAGGATGAATTTCCCTTCTTCTGTGGAAGTGACTCTAACCTGGATCATTTTGTAGCTAATCCCCAGGTCCCCTTATCTGGTCAGCTCATTTCTGGACAAAATCTGTAAACACTTGGAAACTGGTGAATATGCATTTTGCAGAATTCATACTGTTCTCACTGAATTTAGAGGCAATATTTTCAGTGAACTGAGTGAAGACAGTGCTGGGCTTAAAACAAGCAATTCCACCCCCCAAAAAAATTAAACCAGAAAAACGTTCTGTACTGTTTGTACAGTAAAAAGCTGCAGTTTGATGTGCTTGAAGGAAAGACAACAAGAAAATTTCCAGTAATTTATTTCAATTTCCATCACTTCATTCATTCATTACATTTGCAGTTAATGTCTTAAGTGATGTTTTTTCCTTTTCAGAAAACGTTGAGGAGAAAACTTATTTTCATACCTCCCCATCTCATCATATTTTGATCAGAATTTACGATGTCAAGATTCATACACAGACCTCATGGAGAGCTGGCTCATTTTGAAAATTATTCCCAGGTGTTTTGTGTCTCTTTCTTACTCAAAGATTATACAATCAGCATTTTAATGTCCTACAACTTCTTGTCTAGTTCCCTAGGAGGATATGAAAATGAAGCCGTGAAAGCTAAGCTGTTTGGTATTTATCACGCACACTCTGTGTTTCAGAGCTCTGGGATTTAAACAGGACGTCAGTCTTTCATAGCCCATTTGGATATCTTGGTCTTCATATAATGCTGCTGGATGAGTATCAAGAACGTCTGTTCGTGGGAGGAAGAGACCTCTTGTATTCCCTCAGTTTGGATCGAGTCAGCGACAACTACCGAGAGGTGGAGTAAAAAGCCATATATTTTAGTCATTTCATATCATAATGTGCAGCACAGAATGCCAGAGCTTGCATGACTAAAAGGGAGATAATGGAGGTCTGGTAGCTGATTTGTGCATGTACATTAAGGTCATGTTTATATTTGAGGTAAATACACTAATTACCATTTTTCTCCCCAGTAACAACCCATAAGGCTCACTTTAGATGAGGGGATCTGGAGATCATATAGCTATTTCTCACTGACTTCCAGCATGTCTATGGTTGTTTAGAGCATCTCATATTCTGTGCATACCTGATTTCTGTATCTCTACTATATTATCAAGGAATAATTTCTCTCTGGTGTTTGTGGGGAACTTTTCCACATCAGGAGAGAAAATCTAAAAAATCATTAATAAATAAATACACACTTACATACATAAACAATCAACATGTAAACTGCAAGAAGTTTTCAGTAGCAGCAGCAAATTTTTAACCTTCTTTAGGAACTGGATTTTGCACTGGCTCAAGCCAGAAGTGCTGTGAAGAAGACTACTCAGTAGTCTGTGGGAGAAAGGTGATTTAAGTCATAATCCTACCAGAGATCTTGGTACATCTTAGAAATCACAACTGATCTGCAGACTAGCAGTTGGAGAGGCCAGAGTTAGAACCCACATGAGTGTTGGCTTCCTTGCTCCCTTCTGCCTTTGGCACCTGGGATTGGAAGTATTTGGTGGCAAAGGAAGCTGGTAGGAGCATTGCTCTTGCCTCAACAATCTTGACTATGGATAAATGATGTCTTGAATTATTTCAGTATTTTCATTATATACTTCTGACTTTTTTTTCTAATGTATTTTGATGTATTTTCATTCATTCTCAAATTAATGAATGAATGAGAAAGTGAGTCATAAAACAAAGCCCCTCAGAGAAATATGATATACCTCACTGATGTTTCAGATTCTTTTCTTTTTGCCCCCTTGCTGTAAATGACTAACCCTATTTTCACGCCATAGCTCTGGTCAACTTTACCATAAGCAACCTCGCTTATCTCCAAGTATAGTTAGCATGTTCCACTACTGTGAAAAGATATAATATGCTTTATCATTTTTATAAACATTTGGGAAAGGCAATCCTAGATATGTGCAAAATAATATATTCAGGGAGGCCATCTGAGAATTTATCTACATTTAAAAAAAAAATATATTAACTCACCAAGCAGCAACATTACATATATGCTGAGCTTTGCTCGTGTACAGTGAGATATGAGTTAATTCCTTTTCCATTTGATAAAAACTATTTATATCTTGTGACAAGATATTAGAGCTCAGGGATATGAAAAAAATTTCGGAAGCAGTTGCTTCTATAAAATAAGATTTTTTTCCTTTCTCTTCTTCCCCATTTGGAAGTAAATCTGTATGAGGAGACATGACAGGATGGAGCACTTTATGTTTCTGCCCAACTACATTGTCCCATCTGGACAAGCTCTTGAAATTCATTTCTTCCTTTCTTGTTTTTAGATGGAAGATCAGCCATTTACTCTGAAAACATACTCTCTGTCTTCAGACCTATGTGCAGAGTATGACTAATTGATGGAAGCGCTTCTTGCCTGCTTGCCTGCTTTTATGATGTGCTAAAGATGAGAAACTGTAATAAATGGAGCTTGACCTCTCATGTTTAAAAACATGACCTCACCGGGGCTTAGCTCCCTTGAATACAAATGTCATGATCCTTTTTTCTTCTCTCAGTGCTCACTCAGTGCAGATCTCATTCTGTGATAGCCGGAGAAAATTTGATTGTCCTACAGTACTATCAGCAAATGCGTGGAATGAGACATTTCTTTTATATGAGAGCTTAATTACTGAGATACACTGGGGGAAGTTCCTGGTATTGAAAGATTGGTTGATTTATTATTACCACAGTTCTTTCATAATCTGTCTTTAACTGTGCATTGGCTAGCCTTTGACATTTCCTTTCAGACTGAAAACTTAATTAATTTAAAACACCAGCTATAATCTAGTGAAAGTATAGGAGTGGAGGCAAGTTCCTGGATTTTGTTATCCCTCTGGTAACCAGGATGAGTCATTAGCTTCAAAAGAGATGTTTCATTAAGTTGGTAGTTTGGGGCACATTCATATAGATCTTTTTATTTTTCCCTATTCTAGAAAAGAGTGCATATGTTTTAATTCATTGCCACTCATTTTTCCACAATTTACAATATGAATTTGCTTTCTAAAAAACAAACCAAACCCTATTCCAAATTAGAGTGTGTCCCTTCTGCTGTAAAATGGCCCATTAATTCAGTTCTAGCAAGCATATTAAAAGTGCTCCAAAGAAAAACAACAGTATGCTGACTGGACAAAAAATGTTTTTGCATTTGAGACCTTGACTAACCAATTTAGCATTTCTAAAAAATTCAACCTGAGATGCATATAAAGCATGCATCCAATAAATCTACATTTAATAGACTATATTTTTGCTTAAGGTTCAATTCTCTGCAGCTTTGAAATACAAAACAGCATTCTGAAAGGTAAACTGTATTTTTTTCACATAGACTCTTAATTGCTTAGGTATATATCTAACACCATTATTTTAAGCATTTATTGCCCTGACTATTTTTTCATATCCAGTAAAGAAAAAATATATACAAAATGGGAAAAATCTTTCAGGGAAGAAAACTACTACTGTTATTCTTGCATAGGTTGGGGAATCAGGTTGAGCTCTCAGCTGTGGCATAGACCTCCCATGCCATCTTGGGCAGAGTCTCTTCTCCATTGCATTTCCTTTACCTACTTTTCTTTTTCTTTTCTTTTTTTTTTTTTTTTTAGTCTTTGTACCTCTCTTTTCATACAATACACACATAAATTCTCTTGCTTAGAGTATCTAAAACATCTTTCCATAAGTTTCTTTTTTAAATGAAGTTACTCATGTGTCTCAGTTTCTGTATGAAGAATGGCTTATCACTAACAGTAGGTGGATGTCAATATTTCCAGAGAATTAAAGCCATAGAAGTACTTGAAATCTGTGTATAGCCAAAGCTAGGAAGGTACCATCCACATGAACTTTGATTTCCCTAAGATCTCACTCCCTTTGACACCACCTTTGGAATCATACTTTACACATACTAACTTTTCGTATTTGGGATTTGATCCAAAGTCTTTAAGACTTGTAATGATCTAACACACTGATAGAGAACTTTCTTGGAAATATGGTGCCAAATTTATTTTTAAAAGTATTTCAGTTCATTGTGATTAGTGCCAAAGCAGATCTTTGTTGACAGCCAACTGGAACCAATAGCAGTAGTTCATCACTGATCTAACAGCCCACAGAGAAGGATGACCTTTGTTTCTACTTTTTGTCTCTTGGAGTGAAAATGAACTGCACTTCCTATTTGTCCACAAACTCTTTACATATCCTCTTTCTTCCTAGCTTTTGCTTCAAAGGTCTTATAAAGGCCTTGCTCTGAAAAGAAGCCCTCCTACTTTTGTAAATAGGCTTCTTGTGGACAGAGTTCAAGGTGTTATTTCTGATCTACTAAGAGATAGCTCTAGGTTAGGACTTATGTCTCTTCTGTAATAAACTACAGAGCCCTCATAATATGTCCTGCCTCTAGTGAAGCTAGCTGTATTTCCATTCCAGAGCTGCCTGAACACAAGACTTCAAGAGCATGGTTTGTGATTATTTTGAGTACCATGTAGGTATATACATATATTCAAACTGAAGTAAGAAGCACATAGTTTAGCAGTGAGTTTGATTATCCATTGGTGGTTATGTATTTGTAGATAAATACCCATAATATCCAGCCATATACAGACATTTTTTGCAGAATTTGTGCTTCAGCCAAACACAAGTTATGTGTTACTTAAACACTAATTACTGACTTAAAGCAGGGGTGGGATAGTTGAATTGTTTAATTGCTGTGCTGTATATTAGAGTTCAGACTAGCTGACACAGGAGTCTGTTTCAGCTTGAAGTGCTATAAAGCTCATCTAATTTCTTTAAATTAATTTTCACTAGATATGCTATCCTATTTTTTCAGGTTAGTGACTGAATAGGGAAGCTGTTTAGAGACTCTAATTAGTATTCCAGCTCCAATTAAACTTTTCCCCGTATTTGAACTTGCTCAGTAACTGCTGCCTGTAGTGCTGTATAATTCCATTTTTTCCTATGAGGAGTACATGTAAAAGTAGCTTTTTCTTGTCTTTTAAATACAGTGCTATCTCAAGGATGATAATATTATGGTGCAAGATGAGGAAAAAGATTACTAAACAAGTAATTAAAAAATTTAGTTCAGAGTAATCTGCAGAGGTGAAAATGTTTGAAAAATTATGTCCAAGCCAATAATTATGTCAAGCATGTAACCCTGTGAAATGTGTGTTAAATGTGATGTCATTCCAGTCTAAATGCACTGCAAAATTTCTCAACTATAATTATTGACAGCTTGACAAAAGATTTTAATCCTAGCGAAGAATCAATGTTAAAGCTGTTAGTTGTCCTGACTCTAAAGCATAAACATAAGGAAAAATAGTATGTGGCAGGTTAAAAATGACCATTACATCTGATTATTATCTAGATTTCCATACAGTGCAAACACATCCTGTGTTATGTGAGATAAGTAAAACAGCAGTATCACTGAGCACAGTAAGCACACCTTGGCAAAGTATTTCTTAAGCCCCTTAGTATCGATTTCTTTTCAAATGATCATAACAGAGAGCTGTGCAGCTAATACACTTGAGGGAAGGGATGCCACCCAGAGGGATCTTGACAAACTTGAGGATGTCGACCTTGAAGTCCAAAGAGGCCAAGTGCGAGGTCCTGCACATGGGTCAGGGCAACCCCTAGAGTATCAACATAGACTGGGGGATGAAAGGATTAAGAGCAGCCCTGCAGAGAAGGACTTGGGGTTGGGGATATTGGTGGATGAAAAATTAGACATGATCCAGCAATGTGCACTTGCAGCCCAGAAAGGCAATTGTTTCCTGTGCTTCACCAAAAAATTGTGACCGGCAGGTCAAGGAGGGTAACTCTTCCCCTCTACTCTGCGCTAGTGAGGCCCTACCTGGAGTGCTGTGTCCAGCACTGGAGTCCCCAGCAGAGCAAGTCCAGAGGCAGAGGAGAGCCACAAAAATGTTTAGAGCACTGGAATACCTCTTCTATGAGGAAAGACTGAGGCAGCTGTGGTTGTTTAGACCGGAGAAGAGAAAGCTCTGGGGAGGCCTTTTCACTGATAATAGATTTTCTGTGTGTAAATGGGGATTATAAGATAATTTTTACCAGGAACAGACAAGGAATTTAAACTGAAGCAAGGTAGATTCATATTAAATATAAAGAAGAAAATTTTTATGATGAAGCTGGTGCAACACTGGAACAGGTTGCCCAGAGAAGCTGTGGACTTTTTCAAGATTATGTTCAGCGTGCCCTGGAGCAACCTGGCCTAGTACAAGGTGTCCCTGCCCATGGCAGGGGGTGTTGCTTACACTGCATCTGTTTTTCAACATTCCATCCAAAGTGGGGGCATTGGGTTACATCTGTGGCTTTTTTTCTCTTGATTTTGAATATGCATTTAATTCAATATGTCTTAAGTGGAAAAGGTGTATGTAAAATATATTCAATAGTACTGGGACTAGGTATCCAAACACCAAAATAAACACCTACATACAGTTTATTTAATATTAGGTTACAGAGACAAGTGTTTATTTCCTTTGTTTCCTGTGGCTTCTCTGTTCCTAACAGCCTCCTACACCTGATAGGGGCAAACACCTCATTTTAGCCTGTTAGTTAGAACTTTGGGAAGTGGAAGCTGTGACTTCAAACTTTTAGTTTCAGGAGATCCTAGAGTTCGTATCACTTAACCCCTAGTCTTTTGTGTTAAGGACAGGCTGCTTCTTATTCAGTTCTTGACCAGTGAGTAAAGTAAATGGTGTAAACACTGACAGGCTGCTGAAGTTGACAAAAGTAATATATAGCTGACCTCTCGTTTTTAAGCAAAAAGCCTCAGGGATTTACAGTTTATCCCCACTTCTCTTGCAATTTTCTTCTCTTATAGTTTCTCCCTAGATTTTCTTGGATTAGAATTATTTCAAGAAAACTAAGGTAATTCAATTACAAAAAAAGGCAGAAAAAAAGCCTATCAGAAGAACGTAATTGTAAAATGTTTTCCAGATAGAAAAATAATTTGTGATTGGGCTATTGACAAAATGCCTTAATGATGACATCCAGTTTTTGGTACGTGTTTAGTTTCAGCCAAACCTGATATCACTGAAGTGAACATGTTTTTGTTTTCACTTTTAAATGTTTTAAGAAATAAATTAATCATTTCAGTCTGATCAGTCATTGTTCAATATTGTTTTCATCCAAACAAATCATGCATCTGGAATGAAATATGGATTTTATAGAGTAGGTAGCTGAAAAAGAGTCTCACTTGTGTAATTTGGCTTCACTTCTAGTAAGTGGCTGTGAAGAGCTGACCCTTCTCCCCTGAGGTTGATTGCTGACCCTTATTAACTTCAATGTAAACCATTTTCTTTCCTAAATCTCACTTAAAGTAGGAAATCAGTAGCTTGATGTAAAGACTCTATGTTGAAAGTCACTGACAATTTAGCAGAGATTTTTCCACTGAATTCATATAAAATGTTCAATATAGTAACTTCCTTTAAATTCTGCTAACTAGTATTAAGTTTTCTGTCACCCTAAGCAAGACAATTATGTTTCAACAAAAAAATGTCTTACACTATCGTAAGGTTCCATAAGTATTTAAAAATAAACCTGGACTGTTTCACTTGAAAACTGTTCCAAATGTAACAGAAACTTGTTTAAACTTTGTAACATACAATAAGTGTATATGTAGTATGGTGAGTCAAGACTAGAATCTGTGTGGTTGGGGAACAGTTTTGCTGAAAGGGAACTTGAGGTCCCCATGGACAGCAAGCTGAACTTGAGTCATCAGTGCACTGCTGCAGCAGTGAAGGCAAAACAGATCCTGGGCTGTATCCGCAGAGGCATTCCTAGCAGAGAGAGAGAAGTGTTATTCTCCCATTCTACTCAGGGCTTGTGAAGCCTTACCTGGAGTACTGTGACCAGTTCTAGTCACCACAATTAATGATACGAACAAACTGGACAGGGTCCAAAAGAGGGCCACGATGATGATCAAAGGGCTGAAAAACTTGCCCTGTGAGGAAAAACTGAAGGAGTTAGCCCTTTTGTCCATGGAGAAGGCTCAGGGGAGAACTAGACACAGTATTCCAGTATTTAAAGGACAGCTACAAACAGGACAGAGGCTTTCTCTTCACAAGGAGCCCCACGGAGAAGACAAGTTGCACCAAGAGACAATGAAGAATTTTTTTACTGTAAAAAATATTTAATCACTAAAACAACCTCCCCAGAGATACAGAGGAGTCTCCATCACTTTTTAAAGTGATTTAAAGGTTTTAAAGATGTCATGGGACAGGATGCTCACCTAGGATGCTCCCTTTTCCATGAAAGATTGGACCAGATGATCTTTCAGGGTCCCTTCCAACCTGGGAAGGGAATTATTCAATGATTCTATAATTCTCTTCTATGAGCCTTTCACTTGAAAAATAACTGAAAAGCTGGATTGATATAATTGAACAACCAATTGAATGATTTTCTATGTTTTGGTGTGTTTTTTTTTTCTCAGATCCATTGGCCTAGTACACCTCTGCAGGCAGAAGAATGCATAATTAAAGGAAGAGATGCTGTAAGTATCATCAATTACAAATGAAATACACTTTAATTACACCAGGGGATGGTCCAAAACAAGTATTCAGGCATCCCTAAACTTCAGAGAGATCAATGCACAGACATAATTCTTTGTGTCGCATCTTAGAACTGTGTAACGACTGTGAACACACTAAACTGTTAGTTTAATTGCTTTTCAAAACAGATCATAAACAGACAATGAAAAGTTTTGATCATCTTAGCTTTCCTTTAGTTCATTTTTATGGAGTTATCACAGAAGGTACCTTAATAAGTCTCCTTTCCAACTTTTATTTCCCTTTATTTTCATACTCATAAGATACCTTCTATATTCACATTTTTCACATTTTAATTTATCATTAACATTCACATTCTCTAGAGTACTTACAAAAAAAATAATTATTAGTAATTATAAAATATACTCTAAAAGGTTTTGCCCTGTAGCATTTATGTTATATAAATGAAAATATTCTATATTAATGAGCCTGAAACTGTGTTGTTTTTGTGATCCACTGCCTTAACTGTAATCAGTTCCTGGGGAAAGACCTGAACGCCCACTGACATACAGCAGCTGATATCATTGGCACCACAGGATGAAAGCTCTTCTGGATGGGAGTTCTCTTTAATTTTGCAGTGTACCGAGCCTGTTATCTGTACCTCGTAAACACATAGCAAATACAGCACCTAATAAATTCCACAGCTGAGAGAGCTCACACTGTACCAAAGGATTTGAAAATGATGATAGTTTTACAGCAACAGTGACAGGAACGTAGGACACAGAAGGGCATGTGCAAAATTTTCCCACAAACATAGCAAATGGGCAGACTTAATGATAACCATAGCATATTCCCAGTGAAGATTAGGAAGCTATAAAGATTTCTGTTGAGCTACAAGCATGAGAACTTGCCACATCAAGGGAATAGGTGAAAAAGATTGGAAAATAATAATAATCATAATAAAATCCAGCATGGTACTTTACTTCTTGCACTCATGTAGTCAAGAACTGATCCTTTCTAAGGTATCTTTAAAGTTCATTGCATTTTTCTGGATGCTTTTGTACCTTTCGGAATTTTGGGTGGCTTTTGTTGAAAATGGTGTTTTTCTACATTATCCAAACTTTATGGTCATATTAAATAAATCCAAAAACTAAATTCCTTGAGCTTTATTTAATACCAATTCTCAGCATAGCCTGCTATAAGTTAAAGCTGTGTCATCTTTCCTGCACCACAACTTGATGGCATTTATTTTCTGATATTTTGACAATAGCCTAAATAAATACCGAAATAAGTACTGTTCTAATGCAATGTAAGTCATGTCCTTCAGACTTGAGATTCCCTAAAATTCATACTTTTTTACAATTCAATCTGTCATTGTAAGTCTTCAAATTTGCATTTGAATGAAGACATAATTTCAAGAACTTCATCTATTTCCTACATCTTTCTGTAGTGTGAAAGTCTGGTGTCTCTTTTTAAGAGAAAATCACTGAATTTTTAAATAATCATAAGGCTTCAGAAGTGGAGTCTTTAAGAAGAAGATGTTAAAATTGTAAAAGCTGGAAGTATTGTAATACTAAACAATATTGTCATCCTCACATAAGACCTAATTATGTATGGGACTATGTGAATGAGTAAAATTAATTAATTCCAGAGAAACCTTAGCAATTTTCATTAGCATGCTCAGTATTCAGTAATCTAAATTTCTCAACCTGAATGCAATCTAAATTAGAATAAAAACCCCTTCCCTTTTACTTTTTGGTTTTGCCTTTGTTCTTGTAGCCATAAATCAATATTTATTTGCCATGTTTTAAAATCAACCCTGTCCCATTTCTAAGTTCTAAATGCTGTTTTCTTCTGTAAAGTGTCAGAAAAAAAAATCAGTGCTCAATTTTTTATTTCCATGTTTTCATATTTTTTTTATTTTCCTGCAAAAAGCTCTATCTATGCAAAAGATTTATATCTATGCAAAAGTTCTGCTAGTCCAGGCATAATTAACTAAGTAGAAATGAAAATGTGGTAATAAGCATCTCAGTGTTGAAGGTACTTCATGTGTTCTCTGCTACATCTTTCTATGTTACAGAACAGGCCACTTCTACAAGCTTTTACAAACTTCAAAAGTTATCAGTTCCTCTTGTAACAGTAACACTGAAAGCATTTTAGTCATAAGCACAGTTTCAGAGATCTTGTAGCAGGATTAATAAGACAGTTAGAAAAGCCTTGTCTTAGTTTTAACTACATGTGCATAATCTTAAACTCAGGCCGTGGTATTCTGATGTGGGTCTAGCCAAGGAAAAAAATATTTCTGCTCTCATCCAGTGTGCCAAGAAACACACCTGTTAGCCTGTGGTGTGGAAGCTTTTACCCTTGCAATGATTTTATCAGAACTGGAAATCATTCAGATACAGAAATCAAATTCTGTAGTGATGACTAACTCCTTCACACTGAGAGGTTTCAGATGAGTAAAATTCCACAGATCTATTAATAAGTGTTTGGAGCCTCCTAAAGGCATCCACAACATTTAATTAATTCACATAGCATGAAGAAAAGTTATTTTAATGCTCTTTTGGCTGATTAATCTCTTCCTTGTTATATGTACAGGATATTATTAGTGAGGTCAGCAGTAATGTCTAGTTGCCTGACATTTCCCAGAGTAGCACCTATTTTAATTTGTTTATAAATGATAAAGTCTAGCTATTTGGAATAACTTTTTTCTATATTTGGTCTCTGCCTCATCCTATGAAGGCATATGCAATTAAAAATGTGTAATTCTTGCCCATTTAAAAACAAAATTCTAAGATCCTGTGCAGTATTTTTGAGAAAAAGCTGCAAGCATATGTGGATAAAAAGAAGGAAACCATGGAGTAAAGACCAGATCACCACTGAGAGAGGACAGAGGGAAAGTCAGGAAGGTAATACTTGGAGGGGAGGGAGAAAGAAGAACAGCAACAGTGCCCAGTAAAACATCTATTTAAAAATTGCAAACTATAATAAAATTCTTATGTATCACCATTCTGCTAGCACCAGTCAGTTAAATGTTTGTGAAACGTATGTACATAGTAGATATTTCTGTCTCTGAGTGCTGATTGATGTATAGAGGCGTTCTCCTGACATGCAGGGTACTCAAAAAAATGACCATACTCTAGCTGTGTAATATGCACAGTTTATTAAACACGCACACTAAAGTGAATAAGCAAACTAATGCAAACAAACAAGCACACTAATGTAAATTGGGTATATATCTCTATATAGTAAATAAGTGCAATAAAGGAAATCACAGAGATAGATACATATATAAGTAAAGTACAGAGGAAAATTAGCAATGCATCAAATCATTACTGCATGGAGACAACAGAGATTAAGAAGAAATATAACACAAAATATCACCTAATCATTATTCGGGCCCACACTTCAAGCTGGGAAACCCCTTTGCAGCCGATGCCAGTAGTCTCAGGAAATTGGGAAAACTCTTACACCCATAGGTGAGGCTTCAGATTTGGCTACAAGAGGATCCTGCTTTTATACCCTTAGAAAAACAACGGGCTTTATGTCAGATCTGTAACTGTTTACATGTGGGCCATGCAGCTCTTATGATCTCCCTGTTGTCCTCACTGAGAGCGTTGGTCAGGCACTACAGTGCAGCCAAGTATGAAGGTCATAGAACAACTGCACATCTGCCTCTTTTTATTATTGTTATTTTTCATTTATTAAAAAAAAATGGAATAAATTAGTTAAGAAGTGAGAAATTCATAAAGGAAGATGTTGCAAGGTTGATTTTTCCTTTCCATGCACATAATATTCAATTGCACAACAGGTTACCTGACTGTGTAGTTTCTTTCAATTATCATGGTATATCTTCAAGGTGAATGACTAAGAAGAATCATGTAGCAAATAATAGTTTTTCATTATGACATTTATTTACTTTTGGAGCAGTGGGAAATCTTGTACTGAATGTCAGAAAGTTTTGATGAAGGAAGAAAGATGGCGTCTCAGGTTTGAGCCCAATGTGGATAGGCAAACACTGAATTCTGCTCATGGTCCTGCCACAGACTCATCTTCTGTTTTGCAAATGGTTAATAAGGTTCAGGGCTGTTCTCATTGTAAATATAGCAGTCGGGAAACCAACATAGTTATCAGCAAAGGATAGGAAATTTTCAATGCAGAAATTCCTTCACTCTGTTTTATACATTTGTTTTAGGATAGAATTAACTCATTCATTTTATATAGAATTAACTTCCTTTTGGAGATGCCTGGCCTTCTGTGTTGACTACTGAAAAAGGCTAGAAGAATAGCATAAATCACATGTCTAAACTTTAAAATAGCTAAAATTAGCTAATTAATACGATTATAATTATCTTCTTAAACTTGATGCAACTGTCTTAAAACCCAGGGTCTGAGTTGCAGAAATGTTGAGCAATGAATTGAAATGAACAGGAGTTTTGCTCCAAACATAGAAATCATTGCAAAATGTTACACACTCTGTAAAACCAAGTCCCAGGAGTCCAAAATCAATGGATACTTTTATCTTTCTGTCTCCATTTCTAGTTGAGCACAGGAAGGATAATGACCCTACATCTCAAAGGGATGTTTGAAAATTTTTTAATTGTAATATTTATGAAGCTGCAAATACACTAATGAGTCCCAGAGCATTGCCCTGGGGAAGAAATGAATAATTTCTTCTTCAAAGGAAGGTGTGAACATTGAGAAAAGATAAAGCATGAGGCTATACAATATTAAAAAAAAAAAAAGCAATTAATTATACAAGAAATTAATGGTGCAGTAGTTATTTTTTGTTATTTAGTGTTATTTCTCTTGAACTAATCTTTGTTTAACTTGAGAGAGAAGCTATTTGCTGGCTATTCTCATCTTGTGCTCTGAGTCTGATGTCTAGTGCATCTAATAATGCTTAGTAAAATAAATATTTGGATTTGCAGAATACCTTTAAGATTAAAGAAGCACAGAAGCGTGTTTATACATTAATAACTCCTAACTGGTTAAGCATCCAAAATGAATTGTGACAAACAGCTGCTTTAAACTTGCTTTTTTCAAGTCAAAATTATTTATCCATGAAATTGGTGGCACTGAGGTATTAGCACAAAGTGGGAAAACTAGCATGTTATATTTAACAGAGTAGAAAGATTTGATATGTAAAATATCATCTAAGGGCACCTAAGATATTAAAAATATAATTTTGTTAAAATACTAATATTTTTCTAATGTTTTTTATATAAACAAGGATGAATGTGCAAATTACATCCGTGTCCTTCACCGATATAACAGAACACATCTTCTGGCTTGTGGAACAGGAGCTTTTGATCCTCTCTGTGTTTTTATTAGAGCTGGACATCCATCAGAGGTAAGACGTATATTTTACTATAGTAACTCTTTGGGTCTGGATTCCACTAAAGCTTCTATGATTAAAAATAAATATTTAAATGTAAGTTCTCAGTGTTCTCTTACAAACCATATAAGAAATATTTTCCCTGATGAAGCATAATGCTGGTCTAAAATTCAGTTTGTGACTAGAGGAACTGAATAATGCTTGAAAGTATATTTGAGGTAATTACACAATGAACTCAGAGTTATTTTCATTTTAGAGTTTTATTAAGTAAGCTGATACAGCAATTTTTATAAAAAAAATTAAATATTTTGGCTGGTTTTTAGCTAAATCTGTATTTTGGGGGGTTGTATTGTTTTCCATTAAATGATGCACTGTATAACAGAATACACAGACATAGAATGATTAGGTTTGCAAAGGACTTTAAGATCACCTAGCTGAATCCTCCTGCTATGGCAGGGACACCCCACACTCGCCCAAGACCCTGTCCAACTGGGCCTTGAACGTCAGGAATGGAGCATTCATCATTCTTTGGACAGTCTGTTCCAGTGTCTCACCACCCTCACAGTAAAGAACTTCTTTATATCTAATCTGAACTTCCCTGTTTAAGTTTTAACCTGTTACCCCTTGTCCTGTCACTGCAGTCCCTAATGAAGAGTCACTCCCCAGCATCCTTATAGGCCCCCTTCAGATACTGGAAGGCTCCTATGAGATTTCTATGCAGCCTTCTTTTCTCCAGCCCCAACTTTCTCAGCCTGTCCTCATACAGGAGGTGCTCCAGTCCTCTGATCATCCTCGTGGCCCTCCTCTAGACTTGTTCCAACAGTTCTATGTCCCTTTTTATGTTGAGGACACCATGACTGCACAAAATACTTCAAGTGGGGTCTCACGAAAGCATAATAGAGAGACAGGATCACCTCCTTTGACCTGCTGGTCGTTATTCCTTTGATGCAGCCCAGAATACAGTTTGCTTTCTGGGCTGTGAGCGCACACTGAAGATGCCTTATATTCACATTAGTTTTATGGGAGATGGCATACTTTAATAATTCTATGTTAACTTCAGCTTCTTAGTATTGATCATGCATAGCAAGCAAGTCAGCTCCTTACTGATATTTGTAGCTGAGTGAAACAGTACCGCAGAGAAGAACATGAAGTGCAGCATTAAGCTACATTACAAATAGTTGATGTGGGCATGAACTGTGTTTAATGTTTTGTGCAGCTGAACTAGGATAAATGGAAAATCTTATCTTAAAAAATTAAAGCTAAATTTTGAATTGTTATTTTTTTTTATCTTTCTGAGTTATTCAACATCAGAATTACTTACTTTATCCGTTTATGATGGGTTTCCCCTAATTCTTTTTTTTCACAAATTTCAGCTTCAGCTCTCCAACCAAAACTTGTTTTATTCAGTCTCTTAACATCACTCCTTAATTGTTCTACTCCACATTTAACTGACAATTTTGTACCTAACGATTTAGAGCAGCTAAAATTCAAACTTGTCCCATACATGCAGTATTGTTTATTGGTCTATTAGTTACAACAACAGGAAAACAGAGGGCAGGGGCTGGAGATGGCTTAAAATAAGTACTTGGCTAGAATAAACTATAATTGCAGACATTATTCTTCTTAAAATGTACTTATATAAATCAACTAAGTTATTTAATTTAAAGTTGGGGGTTTTAGTGTTTTGTTGGGTTTTTGCAATAAGCTTTTCTGAGTAAAGATGCATAGCTTTGGCAAACTAAACTAGAATCAAATCACCAGAAACAGCCTCCAAGGATCCAATCAATACTGTGCACCTCCAACTGCTGTCAAAATAAGAATCATCTCAGAAGTTAAGAACTCAGCATAACACTTACATTTGAAATCAATTGTTTTGCAGAAACACTGTCTTCTGAAACTGAGGAAAAAAATAAATATTAAGCAATTTTTAAAACATGGGAACTTCATATATTCTTTGCTCCTCTCATAAACTTCCTGTCAGGCTTCCTAGTAGAGTTTGAAGAAGGCAATGTCTGTGTATTTATGAAAACTATTTAAGCATAAGCAACAGGCTAATAAAAATAGAAACCAAACAAAAAATGAAAAACAAGATGCATATATAAGAATGTGTGGGCCACGATCGCTCCTTTATGCTTCACCTTCTTCCCTTCCTTTCTTTTTGTTTATCATTCTCCCTTGTGAAACTGAGGTTCTAAAATTTTACCCACACTCCAATCATGGGAAAATTGCCTTTTTTGTATTTGCATAGACCAAAAGGAAATATGTTTGCTACACTCGTAAGTAGCTATATTAGTTTCCATTATCTGAAAAGCTGACTATATGGATTAAAAAAGACAGGTGCCATGTGTATGATAGGTTAAAAATAACACATGGCGTGTGACTTGTAATCTTGCTTTCTTTGACTGATAAGAACATCCTGTAACTGCAGGAGTTGAAGGGACAAGATCCTTCCTCACAAAGCTGCAGTTCAGTCTCTCTTTGCTGATCTCTCTAGTCAGAGTATCCAGATTCAATAACTTCCAATTACTGTCTCCCATTTCTTTCACTTCAGCTGACTTCTTTCTCACTGTCTGACTGTCATAGAAGGGAGAGTAACAAACGAAACAGTCTTAAAAATATAATGACACTATTAAATTTCTAAACAGAACCCAAACACCTTTATTTACATATGTGTTGTGGTACATAGTGTAGGAGGCAAAAAAGGACTCCTTATAGCAGACTTCTTGTATGTAGATACGTAGTTAATGCAGCATATGAAGCTAGATCCATTCTTCCATACGGAACTATGAATCAACAGTATCAACACAGATGACATACTGTGGTCAGGGACATTAACTATAAATTTCTCAATGCTTCCTGAGCTGATGGAGAAGGGAAGATGCAACCCTTTCTGTAAACACTGCAGAGTTCTTAACTTACAAATTGCATATACATAAAAATTAGAGATATCAGCATTTAAGAACATGATAGAATAGCAGGATTATATTTTTCTACAACCTTTTCCAGCTTACAGAGCAGGCCAAAGAGAAACAATCTGTTGGAACAAAATATCCACTTGAGACTCCTGATCTTGGGGCTCTCTAGTCCTATGTTGCAGGAAAATTCATTTCGTTGTTGGCTTGCAACAAAAGTTCGTGTAAGGTCATTCACTTGTGAATAGCCATTTTTTAAGAAACCAAAGCATTAACATTTTTTCCTTTGAACAGGGGGAATATCTCAAAGCTATGACTTTGATCATACTGTGTAGCATACTGATACAGTATTCAGCATGTTTTTGTGAGTTGCAGTGCAACTTATGAAAAGGAGATACAGATTCATGCATTCTTATCAAAACCAGGTTTGAGCTGTGCCTTGCAGAACGCTGAGCTCTTGTAACAAAGAGCAAAGCCAAAAAGACATATTTGTGTCAAAAACTAGGCAGAATTTGATTGTCTCATTGGCAGATCATTAATCTTTGGAACTTACTGAAAAAAAGAATCTATCTTTCTCAAAAAGAAAATCACAGTAAAAAAGTCCATTCTCTTAGACAGTCTGCTAGAAAATATTAATCTCATTATGTATTAATTGAAATGTGCCTTAAAATCTTTCACAATCAAATCATACTGTAATACCTTCTGTATGTTGGAACGGTTCTTTCATGCTTTTCATGTTTTATAGAAATTTAATGATACTATGTATTTTGTCTTAATATAAATAATTACATTTGAATATGTTGACAAGAAAAAAAAAAAAGCAATAAGTATTGCATTTATTTAATTCTACTTCAAACTTGTTTTGTACCACCAGAATTTAACTAAATATGTTTTTCTATATCAATTAATTTTTAAATTCTATGATATATGTCAATTTGAAAGATTAAATATATAATGTTTTATTGCAGTCGTTCTATTGTAATACTGGTTTAACTGAATTGCTTTGGAGTTCCAGGCCATTCACTTTTGTACTGCTGTTGCCAGATATTACAATTCTAAAAACATGCAAATATAGTCACTGACAGCAACATGCAGGTTATTTATCTTTTTCTCCCTTTCTAATTACTTTGATGAATATTACTTCCACAAGTTTAAACATTTCATCAAATTACCCCATGTTTTTTATGTCATTTAGAAATAAATTGCAAATTGGGAAAATAAGAGTGCTGATTTTGAAGACAGAACAACTACTGGTGTTTGTAAAAGAATATATTTCAAAATCTTGCTCCCAAAAAACTTAATTCAATTGCCAGCCAGTAAGTGAGTTCATTAGCACTGACTTCATGAAATGCTTTCAAATGTCAAAAATTCATTCAGGTCAGAAAAGGTTGGGTTCCTCCAATTTCTATTTGTCTATCATCCAGTAATGAAAGAAGGTTCATGTCATTGAAATAAACACAATTTTTCAGAAGAAAGCAAGACTCAGAGACCCTCCATCCCAAATTTCCCATAATGAATTGAACATGAATCCTTCTTATGTATTCTGTGAGAGAAAATCTGAGATAAGTTTTCAAACCAAATACAGAAGATGAAGAAAAATGCAGAAAAAAATTTACTCTGCTCCCGTTATTACCAAATTGACATTTGTCCCTCCTGTTAGCCTTGATGCCAACAAAAGGCAGGGTGTGGGGAAGCATCTGGATCTGGTCTTTTCCATTTGCCTGTATGTAAACACAGTTCTGGCAGTAGAGGATGAGTACTTGAATAAGTTCATACTGTTTCAGTCTGTTTCTCCACGTGTATCTGCTAGTACTCCACTACTGTTCTATAGATCAAAATATGCTACATGAATTATGATGAACCTTAAATAAATTGGATGAGCTATCTGCAGTCACGCAATGATTTTATCTTAATGAATTTTCTATTCAGCAGAGCAACAGGTTTTAGGGATACTCCAAGGACATTCCAATAATCCAAACTGCACCACGAGGGATAATGGCTTTAAACTGAAAGAGGGTAGATTCAGATTAGATATTAGGAAGAAATTTTTTACTGTGAGGGTGGTGAGACACAGGAACAGGATGCCCAGAGAAGTGGATGCCC